GGGCAGGAGACGGAGCGCAGGCAATATCTCTGATCAGAGGAGTGTGTCGATCGTCACAGCGGATAGCTATCGGACAAAAACAAAAGTGGGCGCAGGTCGTCGGCCATGCCGCCAGATTTGACACAAGCCGAGTAAATCCGTTAAAATATCTGGCTCTTCTGGTTCAGTGACGCCCGTGAAGTGCTGAGTAACGCACCTTTAGAGTAACAAGTCTGTCAATCAAAATCCTAACTGTAACTGGAAATCTGTCAACAACTCGGTATCAAGGCTGAGATCTGGTCTGTCAGAGAGCGATAGAGAGAGGCCACCCACAGGTGAGGAGTCCAAAACCACAACCTGCACACAAGTTAAAGAAACTTCCTGAACACAAAGTGAGATAACCTGATAATGTTCGGGGTTATTTGAGGTGAGGAGGTGATATCTTCTTTCTACCATGAGCTGAAGTCAACTTATCCTTGCTTGGTTACTTACATCAGTAATCGTTGAGGTCAGTGAATATAATTGGGCATTTGCTGTCCTACTTTCAGGATATGCATCCTGCTGATGTCAGAAAAGGTAAGGAGGTAAATCACTCAAACTTTTCAAATGTTCTCACTAGTGAAAAGTCCAAGTTAAAGGAGATCTATTATGCTGATCCATTTTTAAAGGTCACATATTCTGCAAAATCCACTTCACCATGTTTCTCTAACTCTAACATGTCTCTAGTCTTTCTACAACCCCCCAATGATGAGAAAAGTCCATCCTCTCCGTCTTTTCCCTGCTCCACTTTTCAGAAAATGTGTCCTCAAACAGGCCATTTTGGAGATTTTCCCTTCATGACATCACAAAGGGCAGTAACGTCTTTGTTTTAGCTACACATCTCTCAACGCTACTCACCAGGTCCCAGACGGGAATAACTCATGGTGAAAGTGAGTTTAATAGATCTCCAAGCATGACTGACATTCAGACTGAATTAACTTTCACCCTTAAATATTAAACCCCCTCACAATACAGAGGAGCATTATTTGTATCGAAGCCTTACTTCCCCGAGGACCTTTCCAAATTCTGAAGACTCAATCATGCATGAGAGAGCAGCTTATGACATGGAGGATTTATCACAATACATGAAAGAGTCTGCATGTGCTTTAGTTAGTAGACAGGCTCCTTAAGATCATGAAAAAAGCCCCACAGCGTCTTTAACAAGAGGCACAATGTGGAATTATGAAGCCAGAGGCAGTGCTGATGTTAGGTCAGACGTCCAATTTGAAGTTTCAGTTAGTCTACATTACATGTCGAGAAGGCAACTCGCTTAGACAAAGACAACATCGAACATGTTTCTATGATAAGACAACAGATCGTTATTTCTGAAAACGTCAGAAATAACTGAAAAATACTCAAAGTCATGACGGTTAATGTTCTTTTTTGTTCCACCAACAGAACAAAATGCAACCATCTCATTTCATACTGCTTTAAAAATTCCATCAAAGCAACCGATTCACATTTACGAAGTGGAAATATAAGTCATTTGTTGGACAAATCATGAGCGTCGTCAGCCATCAGTTTCTGCAGGGCGACCCAGAGGCTCATCGCCGCTGGTGTCCTCCATGATGGAAATCTAACGATAGGCTGAGAGCTGGAGCTGAGGCGGGTCTTAAGCCTGCTGACAACTGAAAACTGTCTTTTTGAATGGGTGTGTATGTGACTTCCGGTGCTTTTGGAGCCAGCCTCTAGTGGACACTTGACGAACTGCAGGGGTTTTGCACTTCCACATTGGCTTCATTTTTCAACACAGGAGGTTGCCGCTTGGTCATGATACAAGAAGGCAAACAAGATCATCAACAACAAGATTGACTATTCCTATAGTATGTTTATTCCCTAAAACACTGCTGCAGGGTGCTGTAGGTGCCAGTTAAGCCGCTTTTTACAGAAGCCTTTAACCACATTTTCTGCAGCAAATTATCAACACTAATTGATTTAGTGAACAGTTAAAGAAAGCAGGATGAGATCTGTTACCTACGCAGGTACTGGACAAAATCGTGGCCTTGACCACAGGGGGCGCCACAATTGACAGAAACTGCAATTTCTTCAAAGGAACTTTAATATGATTGGTTGATAATTAGAAACAGCGGCAGCGGGGGGAATTGTTCTCCGGAGGTAGCAATGTCTCATAGTTGGATTGGGGTGTTTATCTTAGCTCATTAGCTTGATGCTAACACATAATGGTAATTGCCTTTGACAGGCTAACATATTTAGCATTGCAGTTGTGGTACTTTTAAGAAACAATCTTTTTTTAAGCCTCTCTACGATCTGTCACGTTACAGTTGTGTCACGGGTCACTCAGTGAGCTAAAGGTCAGGAGTGACGGCTGTGCGTATGTTGTTATAGCAACGGTGCTGTGAACATATAAGAAGGCGTCAGTTCACCAATCACATTAGAGCAGTGGTTCTCATGATCTAGCCTCAGGACCCACCTCCTATAGACCATATTATCACGGCCGCCATGTTTCTCAGGGTGGGCGACCTGTCGTTGTTGTAACTACTGTTATGTTTCACCATTATGTTTTTGCAATATGCGTCAAATGAAAGTGGGAGTATTCGTGGCGCCCCTTGAATACCTTTCAGTATAACACCTGTAGCTTTAGTGTGACTGAGTTGATTGGTGACCTTCAGACGAATGTGTCCGCTGTTGTCATGGTTACAACAGATGTTGAAGACAGAGGGTGTCCTAATGAATGTCTCTTTGTTTAGGTCTTCATTATGATGTCAACAATTACATTTTAAGATATGTCTTCAATTAAAAACGTAACTCTGTCTGTTCTTTAACATCTGTTGTAACTATGACAACCACAGAAGCTCATAGTCTCCAGTTAACACGGTCACTCTTTACACCCTAACACCTGCAAAACAGAAGCTTCTTAAAGTCACGACTTGTTGTGAAGTCCCACTTAGTCATTGAGGAGAAAACATGGTGTGCTAACAGATAACATGACGTCGACAGAGCCGCTAGGGGAAACACACTAATAGATAATAATTACTGTAATCACGGCTAAACAGACAAACAGAGGTGACCGTGGTGTCTGAATGTCTCCACAACAACAACAGCTCTAAAACGAAAACCTCAACTCCAGAGAGGACAAATTAAAGCGTTTCTACAAAGCAAATCAATCTCTTAGCTTCAAAAACCCCAAATTCCTCTCCTGCAGCAGCTGAGTTAATGTTGAAATTTAAAGTAAAGTGTAGATTTTTACCTGTGGAGTCTTGTTCTTCCGTCTCCGCCATTAAGTTACCCGCTTAAAGAAGACAAATAGCTAAATCTTGTAGCGAAACCCTCGCAAAATAAATCTGTTTTTATTGTACTTTAATGTCTGTTAAAGAGTCTCACAGCACACAGCTGTGCAACACCAGCCGGGCTCAAGCTGCTCTGCTGCTGTTTGCTTCTGCCCCTCTTCTTCCGGTCCTTCAGGTCATGTGACCGACAACACGTAAGTACGTCACTCACAGGCTCACCGCCAGGCTGCCAGGCAGCCGAGCACAGGACGCTCATCTGAGGCGGATTTTCTCAGTGTATCCCGTGCAACTTGGCATGACTGAACAGGTGACAACTTATATTTCTGCAAAAAAAAAAATACAAACCCTGCAAACGTCACGTCACGCCTTGTGTGGCCTGACTGAAGCCCGAGGCAGCTTGTTTGCTTATTTTCCTGATGACATTCACAATTATCTGCACACATTAAAAAAGGTGAAATTCTCTTCTCTCGGCCTAAAGCGGTGTATGGAGCCCAGGAGGTGAAATGGAAATAAAAAAAATTCAAACACATGCTTTCTATTCAGCACAACAATTTTATTAATTGCACGTATGTTTTAATAAGATAACACGCGCACATGTACGGTTTTTTAATTTGTGTTTTATTCTTATAACGTGCACCCATTTATTAAAGTGCACCTGCCTTTTAGGAAATTTAACCTTTGCCCCTGCGTTTTACTAAATTGAATGCACAATATAGTTGTGCATTTCCATTAGCGTTTTAGTGACTTGAATGCGCGATTTAGTAACTTGCACCTGCGCTTTAGTGACTTGCACCTGCGTTTTAGTGACTTGCACCTGCGTTTTAGTGACTTGCACCTGCGTTTTAGTGACTTGCACCTGCGCTTTAGTGACTTGCACCTGCGTTTTAGTGACTTGCACCTGCTCTTTAGTGACTTGCACCTGCGCTTTAGAGTCTTGCACCTGCGTTTTATTAACTTGCACAGTTGCACCGGCGTTTTAGTGACTTGCACCTGCGCTTTAGTGTCTTGCACCTGCTCTTTAGTGACTTGCACCTGCGCTTTAGTGACTTGCAACAGCGCTTAAGTGACTTGCACCTGCGTTTTATTAACTTGCACAGTTGCACCGGCGTTTTAGTGACTTGCACAGTTGCACCTGCGTTTTAGTGACTTGCACAGTTGCACCTGCGTTTTAGTGACTTGCACAGTTGCACCTGCGTTTTAGTGACTTGCACCTGCGCTTAAGTGACTTGCACCTGCGTTTTATTAACTTGCACAGTTGCACCTGCGTTTTAGTGACTTGCACAGTTGCACCTGCGTTTTAGTGACTTGCACAGTTGCACCTGCGTTTTAGTGACTTGCAACAGCGCTTAAGTGACTTGCACCTGCGTTTTATTAACTTGCACAGTTGCACCTGCGTTTTAGTAACTTGCACAGTTGCACCTGCGTTTTAGTAACTTGCACAGTTGCACCTGTGTTTTGGTAACCACCTTATCTTTGGAAAACCGGCTCAGGGCTAACTCTGATGAAGAGTAAACAATCGTTTTCGAGTGTAATCTACAGTAGTTCAGGTTGCATTAAGCTTTTACTGTGCTTCATATATCTTAACATGACATTGGTAGAGGATTGCCATAAGGTAGGTGACCCCACCCTCCATCAGAAATATGACACCTGATGTCCACTGATGTAATCCTAAAGACAAGGAACCCCTGCACTAAAGGACTCATGATTACAACAAACATAACATTCGCACTCCCAGACTTTAAGGGGAAAAAAAATCTCCTTGTATATTTATTTACATTCCAGAGTAAAATACAGACAAGACTTTTTTTGCATGAACACGGATGCCAACCATTTTTTTTTAAATTGCGAGCTGAAACCCGTGACCCAGGTTAGGCTGCCCTATCTTTGGGAAATGTGGTGTGGTGATCCTGCCATACCAAAATGTGAGAGGGACACAGATATTACCCCCATCACACCCGTCAAAACACATGTAGTAAAGTAGCTGTGAACCTTTGCAGACTGTAAGTCTTTGAGTGTTTGCCTGACACCTTATGAACCAAAAAAAACAAACTAATAAGAAAAGGAAAAATAACGTAAACTGCGTTCACAACAGTCTGCAGTGGTAAGACATTCAGCTGTTAACTAACATCACTCATATGTCCAACACACACACACACAGACAGACAGACAGACAGACAGACAGACAGACAGACAGACAGACAGACACACACACAATCTGTCATCTCGTCTCTCCCCTATTTTCCCTCTAGTGCTTTGTCTCTGGCGATCACCGCCTCGTCGAACTTGATCATAAGAGTGGTGCCCTTGTGCCAGTGCACGGTGACCTTGGCGGGGAAGCCGCTGTGCGTGAGGATGGCCTCCACGATCCCTCCGATGAAGGCGGCACAGTTCAAGCTGCTGTTGTCCTTAGGAACAGAGATGTACGTGTTGACGAGGGGCTCCTTCTCGATGATGTAGTAGGTCTTGTCGTCGTCGTTGGCCTGCTCCAGCTTGTCCGCCTCCTTGCCGAACAGAGATCTCCACACGGATACCTGCCGAGTAAAAAAAAAAATTACTCTGGAGGAAATAATGTCTCTATTATAACCCTTTTCACACATACGGAAATCACCTGAAAAACTCCAGAGATTTGGCTACCCGGAAAATCCGGGTGAGCTGATGTCTGAACGCAGCCGCATATACTCCGGAGATTTCAACTCGAGCCAATGGAAAGAGAATGACGTTTATACAGTGACTGTTTAAAGTGTCTGGATGCGACCTCTATGATCTCCGCGCTCTAATTTAACGTCTGCATTCTGTTTTCTGTTGGTCATTATGTTGTTCTCCTCTCTTTTCTGGATGTTGTCATTCCATTGGATTACACATAGCATTGATATAAAGACAAATATTCTCATTATAACGTCGTGTAGCGGACTCTGTTGCTTCGGCCGCTACTTCTGAGTATTTTTTTTTAAGTCACGTCTTACCTCGGGAAATCCTCCCCCCCTGACAGGGACAGCCCCCCGCTGTGAGGAGCATATGTGAACGACTAGGTCGGGAGAATCTCCAGAGAAGTCCTCCTGTAAATATCTAGATAGTATCCGGATTGCATGTGTGAAAACGGCTTATTAGTGCTTTCACACAACTACAGAAAACTCCTGAAAAAGCTCCTGATATTTGCCGGACGAGCTGCATGTGTGAACGCAAACAGACACTTTTTTTCGTTTGGCCTTCACCTGGTGTTTCTCGTACCAGCTCCCTCGTATTTTTAACGAATTATATATATATCTTTGTAACATAACAATGAGTAAGATCTTTTACCTGCTTTTTGTAACATAACAATGAGTAAGATCTTTTACCTGCTTTTTGTAACATAACAATGAGTAAGATCTTTTACCTGCTTTATGTAACATAACAATGAGTAAGGTCTTTTACCTGCTTTTTGTAACATAACAATGAGTAAGGTCTTTTACCTGCTTTTTGTAACATAACAATGAGTAAGGTCTTTTACCTGCTTTATGTAACATAACAATGAGTAAGGTCTTTTACCTGCTTTTTGTAACATAACAATGAGTAAGGTCTTTTACCTGCTTTTTGTAACATAACAATGAGTAAGATCTTTCACCTGCTTTTTGTAACATAACAATGAGTAAGATCTTTTACCTGCTTTATGTAACATAACAATGAGTAAGGTCTTTTACCTGCTTTTTGTAACATAACAATGAGTAAGGTCTTTTACCTGCTTTTTGTAACATAACAATGAGTAAGGTCTTTTACCTGCTTTATGTAACATAACAATGAGTAAGGTCTTTTACCTGCTTTTTGTAACATAACAATGAGTAAGGTCTTTTACCTGCTTTTTGTAACATAACAATGAGTAAGATCTTTCACCTGCTTTTTGTAACATAACAATGAGTAAGGTCTTTTACCTGCTTTCTGTAACATAACAATGAGTAAGGTCTTTTACCTGCTCTTTGTAACATAACAATGAGTAAGATCTTTTACCTGCTTTTTGTAACATAACAATGAGTAAGATCTTTTACCTGCTTTTTGTAACATAACAATAAGTAAGGTCTTTTACCTTCTTTTTGTAAAGTGTCTGGAGATAACACTTGTTATGAGTTGATGCTACACAAATACAAATTGAATTGATTGATTGATGATTAATGAAAGTGTGATTTTCCTCCTTTTATTCTTCCATTCACTCCTTCAGCTGTCTCTCACACTCACACACACTAAGTCTGCATACCTTGACAAACAGCAGTATGTTCAGTACTTTGGTCTCCCTCTTGCCGTTCTTCTCTCTCAGCACCAGGACGTCCAGCAGGCTGCCCCCGACCCTCTGCCCCATGTCGGACAGCCGAGCCTGCAGCTCGGTGACGGAGTAGACCCGGCTCTGGCAGTACTGCACCACCTCCGAGAACAGCAGGGCGAAGGCGCACACACTCACCTCGGTCTTCGGTCGGCTCAGAGGCCGCTCCAGTAACGCGGACTTGCCTTTGGTGAAGCGAGCCTCCATTATTATTATTATTATTACTGAGTGATCAGCTGATCGGCTACTGCTAACAATGCTAACCGCTCAAAGGCTGTTTTTATTAGCTTTAAAGCTAATTGACGAGATCACCTCTTAAGCCTATGACATGAATATTTCAGTGTCAGTTCAGTTTAACAAAAAAACAAAACACAGAGCTCACTGCGCTTCCCCCTACACCTGCTGTAGTTGTTTCGTTTACTTCCTGTTCCGAATACGTCACATGCAACGTGACTCTTCTTCGTCTAATGGATTTACAGCAGGCAGTACAATGTAGAGTGTAATGCTGCCCTCCACAGTCTAGGAGTGTGTACTTCAGTCATATTTTATGATACAGGCAAGTGGCATCTAAGAATCTGAAAACTGCGCCCCCAACAGATTTAAAGTTTGTACCACAGAACATATTAAAGTACTTAAAGGAGAAAGATGAGTCAGATACTTCCTGAATAACTGACTTCTTTCCTATATTTAACAAAAACAAAGACAACATGACTGTTTCCTGTCATCAGGGTGTTTACTGATGACCTTTAAATAACCACACAGACCACAATGTCCTAACCATCATCCTTTCTCCAAGATTTTAGCCGAGGCCTCTGTAATGATAAGTGTATGTGTTTACAGTGAATATGGTTGACCAGTAGGTGGCAGTATAACATGAGTTACCACATGTAAACATAGAGAGTAAGAGAGCGTGGCGGAGATGAGACAGTAAAAATAAAGTAGCTAGTCCAGCTAGCTTGAAGACCCAAACACTGTGTTTTTATTAATACAAATAAGAACATTACAGTCTCTTCCTTTTTATTGATGGTTGCAGAGAGAAAAAATGTCTGCCCTTTTGCTCTTCATCCCACTCAGCCACCGACACTCTAGCTTTTCCTTACAAATACTACTAATAATAAATTCACCACCGAGATTTCATTCCCCTCGATCCCTGAATGACCCCCAACCAAACTCCATCTCTTCTCTCGTTTTATATTTCTGACCACACGATGTAGTCGGCTTTACTAGAGCCCAACCGATAAATCAGCCTGCCGATAATATCAGCCGATATCAGCTCATCACGATCAACTATCGGTATCGGCTAGTTTTATCTCAGATATGTGCCGATATTATTAGGTTTAGTTCATTGTTGTTCTGTATACTTTATTTTTTATAGTTATCAATTTCTATATAAATATTTTAGTTTCAGTTTGTTGTTATTCTGGCTCATAAAAGCTTTTGTTAAAAATAAAAAATCTTGTCCATCCAGCTGTCCATTTTCTTCCGCTTATCCAAGGTCGTTTTTTTAAAGTGAAATGAGACATTCCAAGACGCAGCAGTGTCCTTCTTTTACATCACTGGGACTACGGGGAGACACTGAGGACAAATATCTACGGAGAGCCTGAAGGGACAAAACAGCCTGAGATTAATTGTGACAAAAAAAACTAATTAATTAAACTAATAATTTCAGACCTTCATTTATCGTGATTAACTAATGCTGACTACCTGAATGTTACACAGCTCCATGGTCTGCAGCCAGTGACGATTCTAGAGTCTGATGTGGCCCTAGGCAAAATCTATTGGGGGGGGAGGGGTCCCTCTAACCAGCGTTCATCACCATCATGTCTGCCAGTGTCCCGACGATTACTCCTCTTCCTCTTTTTCCTGTTTCTGTTTCTTCCCTGTAGACGAATAATTCCTCTTCATTTTTCTTTGTAGACTTTCTTATCAAACTTTGGTTTTCACGGCAATAATGCATGCAACGCTTAGCAGGGCAAGGTCAGATGGGGCCCCTTAGGGAGGTTTCCTACTGTCGTTGCAAAATTTGCACATTTTTGGTCACTGATTTGGTTGAAAGTTTGTCAGCCCTCAGGCGCCCCCTGCTGGTCTCGGGCCCTGAGCAGTTGCCGCTTTGCCTGTTGACAAGCAGCTCCTCTGGCACGATGCACTTCTTCTTCTGTTGTATTTAATGCTTCTTCTTCTTCTGTTCTATAAAATGCTTCTTCTTCAGTTGTATTTGATGCTTCTTCTTCTTCTGTTGTATTAATGGTTCAACAGTGACAAAATGAGAGAAAGTCTGATGTTTCTTAATCTCTCTGCATCAGAAGTTCCTCTGGGTGACAGGTTGTGTTATTCACAGTGAAGAAACATTTCCTGACACAGATGAGTCACACGAGATACGTTAAATATTAACCATAAATCTGCTTTCCCTTTAGTTTTGTTTGTTGAAGGTCATGCTATTATCTCTTTGAGTGAAGCTGTACACGTCTATAAACGTGATGTATCTACGTCTGAACAGGAAAACAATGATGAATAACCTGTGTGATCAACCTTTTAACAGGGCCAGGGATCTGTTTTCCTCATGTCACACTTTAACTCACCGTAGGCTGAATCAATATTTGGGCCATCACTGGACAAAGAGTACTTTCTCTATTTGGTCAAAACACTGCAGTTTATACAAATACACCTACTCGGAAAGTCTCAGGAGTCGTGTTGAGCAAAACTTCACTGTTCGGTCTGTTTTGTTTGTTTTTGGAAAGCCTGAATGTTAAGAGGTTTCTGTCAGGATTCCTTCTGATCTCACTTTTGGAGCTATCATTCTTCTTGTTGCCTGGAGGAGGCCGGGTTTATGTTCTTCTGTAGAAGAGGCGACAAGCAGGAGATGCAAAATGTCTTCATCTGGACTGTCATGTTTTGTTTGGGCTCTATCCTTTATCGTATTCACCGCTCATGGCAGGCCGGCAGGTGAGTTCAGTTATTCAAAATATGTCAACATGCGTATTAAATTCTTCATTTGAGAGTTTTGATGAGAAATATTTCCTTACTCCCCTCCCTCAGTGTTTGTTAAAACTTATCTCCATTCAGACATGAAGCTCAAATTTGGTTCTTATTTCTTTGATGTTTTTTGGACCAAGAAAGTATTTTCTTCAGTTTGTAGGTCTTTTGGTTCAGCTTGAGTTGTACGCTTGTGAAGAAACTCCACCATTGGACGCCTATAAACAGCGGCCCTGAGTGGGGCAGAACTGAACAGTTTGAGAGGGAGGGTTTCTTGCAAAATTAAAACATGTTTGAGCCTCTGAAACTAAAAGAAGCGCAGTACAGAGAGCTGAACCCAACAAACAAAAAGGGAGTTTGACTTTACTCTACTTTTTTTTAAAGTCATTACTTAAAGAGGACATATCATCCCTCCTTCTCCACTTCTCAAACAGTCCCCTGTGGTCTAAATGAAACATCTGTGCTGTGCTTTGGTCAAAATATAACATGAATCAAGCACCAGAGGAGGTTTGTGACCCTGTATGAGTTTTCCCAGTAGACATCCCTCCTCTGTAGCGAGAATAAAAATGGCCGACCTGCTCAAAATGTTTTGCTCTAGGCGGGGGAGTCCATGGGTGGAGAATCCCACTGTGACATCACAAGGAGAGCACATTTGAAACAGAGCATTTTTCTCTGTGTTGTAAGACTTATGCAGACCACAAACAAAGGACTGGATGGGTTTATTTCACATTGTCTGGGTCAGTAGACACTCAGGTTACCCAAACATATGTTCAAAAACACTGTAGAAGAGGATTTTTCATAATATGTCCCCTTTAAGAGTATATTTAGTTCATTCAATGGTCCATAATTGGAACATGATGGTCACTTCACATCGGGATGGCTGTGGCTCATTGGTAGAGTTGGTTATCTCTCGACCGACAGGTTGAGGGTTCGATCCCCAGCTCCTGTAGTCACATGTTGATGGGCAAGACACTAGTTAGTTCATACTGAGGGACACTTTACAGAGCAGCTTCTACCATCAGTGTGTGAATGTGTAGGTGTGACCTAAAGTGTAAAAATGCTTTGAGTAGTCAGAAGACTAGAAAATAAATATATAAGTCAAGTCCATTTATCATTGATCAAATACTTCTTCTGTTTCTCATCCATTGTTGTCAGGGCTCCATCTGCGTAACATGGACAGCTTCATCAAAGCTGTTCAGCAGGTCGAAGACTCAAACCCCGATTTGCCCCCTCTGGCTCTGGTCAGGGCCCTGCGGAGGACAGCAGGAAACGACGACATGATGACCGTCCATTTTTTGGGTTCCTCCTATAATCTGAGCGATGCTGAGGTGCTAGAGACAGCCATTCTCAACGCCTCGTCCTTTAGCTTCTTCGACAAGGCCATCCACCACATTGTGACAGACCAAGGAGAGGAACGAGGGGTGGTGCTCGCTAAAGACGGCACCACAGTAGCCCTCGCACCTTTACTTCTAGGGATCGAATCAGGATTAAAAGTCAAGATGGAAGGGGCACCACCTGTCGGGATCTTCCCTCTCACTTTAGGCCGGACGCTGGGTCTGTCCTTCTTCAGCCTCCAGGACTTCCCG